GTGCTAATAAACAGAAAGCCTGCTAGCTCGAACTGATTTTCTATCCCTTTAAAACTCGTATTAAAGAGGCTTAAAAATATCTTTAAGTACAGACCATATCACTAAAATACCTGCATATTTGAATGACAGCACAAGTATACAGCCGATCTCGGATATATCGAATTCGAATACAGTTAAACCTTGTTATAACGAAATTGGAGGTTGGCCGCGATTTGCTCATTATAACCAATATTTCTTTATAGCCGCAGGGAGTATTTACTGCAAATATTATGCACTGTACTTACGCGAAATAAATAACAGGCAAAATAACATCTCACCTCACGGTGGTACGCAACAAGATAACCACATTCCGCAAAGAAAAACGAAATGAAACGCACTTATTTTATTGCACTTCAAACAGACTTGGCTCTAAATAAGTCTATAATCGGATGCTGGTGCATCTTTTTAATGCAAATGATGGCTAGCTCAGCTGCGGCCGCAATGTTCAAGCCATCTTCTCCGCCCTCGAAAGCGCTGAAGTAGCGGCGCAGTGCGTCCACCACGTCTAATGCCTCCGACATTACCAGAACGTTGGTCTCCCGCATGGTGGTCAACAGAGTCATCGTTGCTGGTCTCATACAAACCATTGACAGTGCGCACAATGTCATCATCGGAGAGCTGTTCCGTAACCATCACTTCCGAGTCCGCACTCACATAGTCGCGGAACGACTCGCTGTTGGGCATGACACCGGCCTCACGACCTGTGGTCCATGATGCTGTCCAATGTGGCGAAACTGTCTGGCGCAGCGGGCTTGTCTAATGATGGCTCATCACTGGCGTCTGGTGCGGCGGAAAATGAAGTGTGTTGAAAGCAATTTGCAATCGTGGTCCCCATCACACTCATCCACGCCGCTCGAAGCATTTCGAGAGCAGCTGTACGTACAAGTCAACATTGGTGTCCTGCTTCAACCTCATGTTGAGCAGATGCCTGTCAATCACGTGCTTGCAATAACCTATCTTCAGCGACATAATAACGTCTTGGTCAAGCGGCTGCGATTTCGCTGTGCAGTTGACAGGGAGGAACAGCAGCTCGATGTTATATGGAGAGCGGCAGCGGTGTGGTGGGCGGTGCAGTTATCTTAAACAAGGCACACCTTGCGGTTCGCCTTCTTGTGCCATTTCAAAAGCCATTTTGCAAAAATCTCCCTGGACATCCAGGCTTTGCGATTGGCCGTGTAATTGACCGGAAGCTGCTGCTTCCTCTTAAAGATGTAGGGGATGTACTTTTGCCAATTACGAAAATTGGCAGCTTCCAGAACCAGTCATGTTGACACAATGTAGTGCAGTGATCCGCAGCTTATTTTGCTTGCTGCCATGGCACAGCTGACCTCTGAGGGCTAAAGTCTTGTGCGGCAGCATCTTGAAAAAGAGAGCGGTTTCGTCCGCGTTAAAGATGTCCTCCACGTTGTATTTTTCCAGCAGTCGCGCAATGTTATCTTTTGCCCACTTCCGTAGCCTCTGCTTTGTCGACAGATTTCGAGTCGCCGTAGACCACTTTCTCGACGATGTCATGGCACTCCTTGAAACGTTGGAGCCAACCCGAACTTCCAACAAAGTTGTCATAGCCCATGATCCAGGCAAAGTAACTTGCTTTTGTTTGTAGCATGGCATCACTCATCAGCAGATTCACGGCCCATGTGTCCGAAAACCACTTAAAAACAGCCCTTTCGACCACTTCAAAGGCAGCAGTCCTCATCCTTTTAACCTTTCCTTTCACGCCACGTGCAGCAGCGTCGATTATGAGCCACAGCTTGCTCAAAAGCGTGGACAGTGTACTGGTCGACACGTCAAAGCCTCTTGCCACTTTGCTTTCCTTTGTTCCCGCTTCAACGGCTTTTGTCATTGCCACCTTCTGATCCAGCGTTATACGCTTTCGCTTCCCGCCTGGCACATTCATGTTGCTGGTATCACGAGCACAGCGCGATAAAGATAGGGCAGAAGCACTAAAAAATTGGCCCCGTAGCTGCATGTTAATCTGCAAATGTCGTCGAAAGAGTATAGTCTTGCCTCTGGAGAGGCAAGACTATAGGCAAGACAAATCGTTTATTTGATGTTCTATGCAAAAAAATCGGTGAATGGTAATCTGGAGGCGCTGCGTTAGAGTGCCTCGAGCGTGCAGCGGAGGTTAACGAGCACATCAAGTCACGTCACACGTGAGAATGAGCGCTATCTGGCAGTTATCTTGGAAAACGTAAGTGTGCGGCTCTGAGACAGTTGTGCGTGCCCGTTCCAAAGGTGATAAGGAGTAGAAAGTAAGGCGACGGGTAAGTGCCACCACCATGCTGTCTTAGCAAAACGTTGGAAACACTTGCCTTTTCGTGCAAGCCAGCGCAGCGTGATAAACGCTACGGTCCCTAGAATTACTTATGTATGCCTTTTCTAGTAAAAGGCGCACATACAGAATATATACATGTGTTACGGTGCCGCAGATATGTGCAATAATTGCTTTTTAATTGACAATCGCAAAAGTATGAACGCTGAATCTTGAGCAACATTGGTGGGCACTGCGGATGGGGTCGGCCGTTTGGAATATCAGCTGGTGCCGTTTGAAGTACCTGGTACCGTTAAAGGTAGACAAACAGACAAACGGGTAGACAGACCAAAATTTTTGCATCGAAGGTCTTCAAGGAAGAATGTCGTCTTTAAAAAACCACGCACGCAAAGACAACACGGCTAATGTCGACGAGTGACAACACTTGCAGTGGTTGCAGACAGGCATGCCGCGGCCATGGTTACTGAGGAGAAGTGGGGAAGTTGCGAGTGGGCTCACGGATGCAGAGAGAGAGAAAGATTAGAGGGGAAAGGGTGCTTTTCTCTGCAGCTTGTTAGGAAAGCACGACTCAGCACCGTGAAGAAGGGGACAGGAAGAATATGAAGAAGACACAAAAGAAAGAAAAGGGCGAGACGTTCATAGAGTTGTGGAGTCCTTGGCTGTCGGCGGTAGCCAAGCGGCGCATGTGCAATGCCCGTGCAACACCCTCACTTTCAGAAATGACATGCGCTTGGCGCACCTCAGCTTACACGTGTTGCTGGAAGATGGGTGGCGGGAGTTTTGAACTGTTGCAGTTGCCGCGTAACACCACCTGAAATTCGCGTTGTGCACTGTCGTGACATCAGCTCAGAATTTTATTTCCTAGCGAAAATTCATTCATTATATCCCATGACAGGCAAATTTTACCTCGTTAAAACGAGGTTTTGAATGCATTGGTTTCTACGGGGACTCTTCAAGGGGAATCACGGTTTTCTCGCTATATATGTTATTTTGTTATAACTCATCTTTTTATAACGAGGTTTAACTGTATACGGAATTATTGGCTATATCGAATAGTTGAAAAATACCTATGTATTTCCTATGCAAATGTATGGGACTGGCGCTCCTGTATATCGAACTCCCGCACAGCGAAACATCGCTGTATCGAACACTGCGCCCCGCCGGAGCCCAGAAAATGCATTTTCCCAAGCAGATATTGATCAATTTTTGGCCGTGCAAAACACGTCCCGATTCCTTTGGCGCGCAGGTTACGAAAAGGCAGTGTTATTCTACCGCGCTGATCTGGTTCGTTGGGTGGCGGTTACGAGTGCACCAGTATGGTTGATGCGCAATCTACAGGTCTTAACGTGCGGGCATAGTGTTTTTCAAAAATACTGATAGCCGAGGACACCAAAAGAAGAATGCAAAGTGACTCGGCGACCTTGTTGTTATATTCGCATTCCCTTCCCTGTTTGTCAATGACATGGCGAGCCTCAAAGGCATGACCTTCGAGATGCACAACCTCATGACGTATTTTTGGTGTTTTTGGTTTCAAAACGCACATATCGGTGGCTGCGCTTTTTCTACCTTTTTTGCATTGAAGCAGTGGCAGCCAGCTACAAAGCCACAAGTGACAACAATATAGCCAACATGTCAGTGGTGGGAACTCGGCATTGTCTTTTGCGCCTTCTAGACTTGTGTACTTCTCGCCTCATTCCTGATGAATCCTCATTCCACAGTTGAACTGAACGATGACCTGCTTGTAGCGATAAAAATTATGACTGGCACTTGGAGCGACGTCATGTAAAGCATCGCTAAGCCTTCTTGCAAGCCAGGTGGCGACCTCCGATACGTCATGACCGCTGACAATGGCGTACGGTGCCTCAGTGAATTCTGTGACTTATCAGCGTGTCCGGGCATCATTTCGGACAGTGCGCAACTTTATTGGTACAGGTGACGACGTAGCTACTTCTGAATGCATCGACGCTGAGATCATCGCTGCCGTCGCTGGTGCCATGAAAGTATAGTAGTGCGCCTATGAATATGCCAACGCCTTGGCTGCCACCGCTAACCAACCTTTTGCCGCGCTACAAAGCATGCATCGGCGTTCTGCATCAATCAATGTTGTCGCAGTCAAGGGAGCTGGATTCACTTATTTGAAAAGCTTCAAGTGATATTGAAGATGACTAGAACTTGACAGTGTGCAAAAAGCAAGACAAGTTTACAGACTATTTTCGTGCAAAATGAAGTGCGGTAACTGGCCGTTCACACCTTGTTCTTCATTATACTGTGAGCGAATCATTATGTTAGCGCTTGTAGCGACTTTTGAGGTCCGAAGTGCTGTAATTTAGGCCTTAAAAACACATATTTTGTATTTGGAATAATTATTACATCGAACTATTTCTTGATCCCCTTCGAGTTAGATATATCGGGGATCGACTATACATAAGCTCAGCGAGTTTCATCAGTATTTGTCATGGAGTGCAAAGAAGGTTTGAAGCAGTGTGCCGCCTTCACCACAGACATCATAAAGAGCGCGAGCAGCGAGCTCTGTTTACGTACGTTACATCAACATTACCAGATCTGACTCCCATAATGTGTGATGAACAAGATCAACTAAATGAGAGTTTCGTCGCGAAAGAATCGTAAATGGCACAACAGATAAAGCAAATGACACAAAAGACGAGTACTTGGTCATACGCTTGCTTACCGAGCCGTCTGTAGTGGCATCGCATTGTTGGTCGCATTGTTGGTTCTTTCTGCCATTCCTGCCACTTCTCCTTACGCTTTCCTGAGGACTTTTCTCAGAAGACGAGTTGTCCTCGTGTCCGCTCTTTGGCTCAGACAGCCGCCGCTCAAGCTTCTTCACCACTTCAACCAACGTGGCAACTGTTGCTGAAAAGAAAAAAGAGAGCACTGCTGCAGTCGACTTAAACGTCACAGTCGTCGTCTAAAAGAGTGCTGAATCGCAAATAAAGGCCATGAAAGAAACCAGTGTCAAGATGCAGTAACGTTAAGTTGCAAATTAATCTACTTCACAAATTATACTGCAAGATCGAGCACAAGCAACCAGTACAAAAAAAAATAACTTTAGTGCTTACAACCGAGATCTTTACAGAATGAAAACATAGAAAGAACACTGTTTCAAAACAACCACGCCATTGCCACGACATTACAATGCTGAGGTCCTGCGAACATGCAAAAGCGAAAAGAAATAAGATTGTGGCAACACAATCTGCACAGCTCTGACCGCAGCCTCCACCTCGCTATCTTTTCGCTTGGCGTGACACGGCTGCACAATGCACACCACATTCCGATAAGCCACAGCGCCGATAATCATCCGAGGCATACGTCACCGACCGCGCCTACAGAACTGGACTCCAAGCTCGCAGGAAGATACATTCTTATTTATCTAACCGTTCGAGCTCAGTATCGGCATGCTTGCCCTGCTGCTGCTACTTTCACGTTAATAAACGATCGTCTATGTTTCATGTCGGGATGCTACGTTTCTTCTAGGCCACATCCCACATCTGGTGACCCGAACGTGATCCCAAAACGCAACCTTCTGATGGTTGCATCTCCACGTCTCATGCGCACCAGGTTCACGCTTTTCACGCAGGATGGCTCTCCACCTTCGGTGCCACTCGCAGCCTCAACACCCCCCCCCCCCCCCGAAAAAAGATCGGCACCCCCTGGCCACTCTTTCAACTGATGTTCTTCCACGGCTGCTACAACGCAGCCCGCTCTTTTCACGACACGCTCTGGGCGTCTGGTACCCCTCCCAGACTTCTTCAAGCCCCGAGGACTTTCCACTCCGCAGGGGAGTGATGTGGCAACACAATCTGCACAGCTCTCAACACAGCCTCCACTTCGCTATCTTTTCGCTCGGCGTGACACGGTGGCACAGTACGCACCACATCCCGATAAGCCACCGTGCCAGTAATAATCCGAGGCATCAATCACCGATGGCGCCTACAAAACTGGGCTCGCAGGAAGACTCAGTCTTCTTTATCTAACCATTCAAACTCAGCATAGGTATCCTTGCCCTGCTGCTGCTACTTCCACATTAATAAACGATCGTTATTTTTCATGTCGGATGCTACGTTCCTTCTAGGCCACATCCCACAAGATCAACAATGCATCATAAGAAAAAATGTACAGAGAACTACCGTATTCACCCATATAATCCTAGCACTCGCATAATTCTCGCACACTGCTCAACAAAAAAGTGAATTTTTTTCCAAGAGCGTTTATCGCACCCATACAAATTCCAGACGGAATGCCGCCTGCTCCTTCCAACCACTGATGATGATAGTGAACAACAGCCTGGCACTATCTCTTAAATATTATGCATACTATCAATGCACAAAGCTCCGATCCAGTGCAAGCAAAGCCAAAGTGGCAAGTGTACATTGTGGCGTGTTAGTGTATGACGCTGTACGTTGTGTCCATTCAGTGTTTAGTCTACGGGGTGATAAGAAAGCTATACGGCTGGTTTCAAGTTGAAAGCAATTGATCATGCACTAAACAACAGCAACAGGGCCGCCAGTAGGCACTTGAGAAATGACGAGTTTTGTGTTTGCTAGTGACGACGGCAGCACGGGGCAGCTCAAAGCTACTGAAGAGCGCAGGGACTTCCATGAGCCTTAAACTGGGATAGATGGTAAAAATTTTTTTTCATCAGAAGGTAACTGCGAATGATTCTGTGTTAGATGACCATTAGCCCAAGGTTGACGTCATACACTAACCTCATGCGGGCTCCTGTTGAGTGACGAACATGAGCACTACACCCGCAAGCTCTGCATACGGTATTCTAAAAGAACTATCTGCTTGCAGCTTTTGTGTCTCAAATAAATCTTGCCTTGTGTTGAACCTGTGGGTTTGTTGTTAAGGTAAGTACTTCTCAAGTCTTGTAGTTAGTCGTTAGCACGAGAATCCAGATTTCGACCACTTCGTTTTGTTTCTTTCCACCCTCCTGCTCCACACGTCTTCGCAAAAAATTTTCCTTGCGTGATTCTTGCATCCCCCAAATTTCATCGATTTTCCACGAAAAAAAGTGTGAGGATTATGCGAGTGAATATGGTACATAGACTAAGAATATTCCACCTTCAAGAAACTGCAGCGTGCTCTCGATAATTCAAACTGTGAAAATTCAAATGTTTGAGTACTTAGAACAGATGTTAAATATCTGATTGGTCTGCTATGCTTTCAATGTATTGAAAGTCGCTTAGTTCACAAATTTTGGTTTTCAGTCACTGAAAATATACACAGAAAAAGGTTCGTCCGACACCCCAGACACACTGGATGCGTGAAATTCTCAGTTTGTTTACAGGCAGTACACCTTAACGATCTCGGCTTGAGTGTAACAGCAGAGCCACGACCCACAGTTGACGATGAATTGACAGGTACGTAGCTGCTTTGACCACGGCATGAAGTAATTGCTTGAAGGTGAACTTCAAAGTGCGAAGCTTATTCTAATCTTATTTAAGGCGCATGGAGGTGGTGGTGAAACTTTATCACCCAAAAAGGTGTCCTGAAGGACACTCGGCTAGACGCCAGGGGTACAGGGCATCTCCCACATCGGGACAGAAAGCCCGAAGCTCTCTGCCGCCTCACGGGCCTCCTGGACAGCCTGAAGTTGGTCTGCCAGTGAAACACTTTTAGCACCTTGGCCCACTGTTGTTCCTTGTTCTTGGCAAAAGTGTCACTTGATGCACAGCCACAGAGCATATTGTTCAAATCTACACGTTCACAACATTGTTCAAACACATGTTGTCCATCGTAGTTTGGGTCAATACGCTTCCTGCGCCAGGGGCTGGTGTACGAGTTAGTCTAGAGCAAGCGTAACAGTGACCGACTGGCTGCGCGTTAATTTCTTATACGGGAGGGGGAACTCTCGCCGGTCTAGATAAAAGTGCTTCGTAATTTTATTGAAAGTGTATAACTAATCCCCCGTACTCTATGTGCAGTGTATATGGGGAAACCGGAGTGACGCGGTCGATGAGTCCTCGCGCCACCTCGTGTGCCGTCTCGTTGAGATTCCGCAGGTTGCCCCCTAAGCTGCCTATGTGTGCCGGGATCTATACGATGAAGTGTTCGGTGATGTTATGTCCATCTAATAATCGCAGTGCCGTCTTGTCTATCTGCCTTTTGCGAAAGCTCTAGTTGCTGCTCTAGAATCACTTTATATTGTTGTGAAGCTCAAGTCTGCTACTAGAGCTATCGCTGCATGTTCGGCTACATCCGGCCTCTTGGTGTAAAGAGTGAGTGAGCTGCGTGTTTGTCCATATCTGTTAATTACTACGACCAAGTAGGCGTGCTTTCCCAGTATGCATCCACAAAACTGCCTGGTCGGGAAATCTTGCCGCGAAGGTTCTGGCGTGGGCGAGTCTTCTTCCATGATTGTGGACCGGGTGTACGTTTCTTGGGAAGGGGAGCACTGTAATTGATTTTAGCATAAACTTCTGAACATTGTCCCTTTCCGCTAAGGTGTGCAAACCGAGCATGACAAGGATATCTCTGCCCACTTTGATGCTGGATAGGCGTGCGATCTGTGTCGTGTGCTGGGCCTTCGGCAAAGGGATTATGAACTCCCAGCAGTAAAAAAAGAGCAGTGGAGGTATTACCCGGGTAACCCCAACGCTGTCTTAAAAGCCCATCGTATGTGTACTTCGAGCTTCTGTCATTCTACTTTTTTTCCGGTTCAGCGTCGCAGCCATGTATGTAATGTGACAGAGAACAAAAGCGTGTACCATTCTGATGGTGTTATCCTCGCCCAGTTCTCTGAGCCGATTCATAATGCCCCGAAACATTCGAAGCGCGTTCCCAATCTTGAATGCGATGTTGTCCAGCATGACCAAGTTAGTACCATTACTTTGGATGGTGAGTCAAGGATGCTAATTTTGTCGACTGTAGGTTTGCGGGTGCCGTCCGAATTACGTAACTCTATGCTTAGATGGACGGGTCTGCGCCAGTCTTTTGATGGGCGCCCTCGCCTGGGAGGATGGTAGATAAGCAGCTCAGATTTTCTGGAAGAGCAGCGAAGTCCCATTGAGGTGAGATGTGCTTCGGTGATTGAGATTGCGTCTTGCATGCGGGCGTACTCAAGTATCGCTGCCACCGGTGCTCCAAATGATGATATCGTCTGTGTAGATGGTATGCTCCACATCTGCTATTTCTCCCAGTGCACAAGAGATCTTTGCCGTAGCCAGATTGAATAAGAATGGCAAAAGTAACAAGCCTTGCGGTGTTCCCTTATCGCCCAGCTCGAAGCTTTCAGAGACTTGCTCGCTATCCTTAGAGAGGCCGTTCGATCCTTCAGAAAAGCACTGACGTATTGATAGAAGCGTGTGCCAAAATTGTGTTCAGATATAATGGTCACAATGGTTGATGTCGGATGTTATCAAAAGCTTGCTCCACGTCGAGACCCAGCAACACCTTGGTATCTTGTGTAGGGCGATCCAGTAGACTTTTCTTCATTCTCAGCATGGCGTCTTGCGTTGATAAGCCCAGCCTATATCCAATTGTTGTGTAGGGGAAGTATTCCTTTTTTTTCGACGTACTCTGTCAGTCAGTTCAGAATTACATGTTCGGCTAGCTTTCCTATGCAGGACGTTAGTGAGATCGGCCTCTAGGTTTGATAACCCCAGACGTTTTCCAGGTTTTGGGATGAAGACCGTATTAGCATGCTTCCATTTCACAGGCAAACGGGCGGTTTAACAGGCTTCGTTGATTTGTTCAGTTAAGAAGGTGACCGAATTGCTATCTAAATTTCGGAGAGCCCGATTCGTGACGCCATCGGGGCTGGCTGCAGAGTTGCTGTCGAGTTCGTGAATTGCATAGCAAACTTCACTCTCAGTGCAGTCCACGTCGAGCTCAGATTTTGGGGCACCGTG